ATGATATGCCAAACTACTATGTAGTGTAATGACACTTTTGTTACAATTTCAAATGGGTGGTCACAAAATCGAACCCGGTGGGTAGCAATATTGTTGCAAATCTCATAATAATAATAATAATAATAATAATAATAATAATAATAATAATAATAATAATAATAATAATAATAATAATAATAATAATAATAATAAGAACAACTAAGCACCTTGTGCTCAGCTGGCACCTATGTGGCTCTCCTTGAGAGAAAGTCACAGGATCGAATTTCGGTGGTCGGTTGTAATAATTGGAGAAAGTATAGAACATGCAACTTACTTTTTTTGAATGCTACTGGTTCTATTACAATGTAGTACATGTTCATATACTTTCTCAACCTACTGAAACACAAAGAACCAATAACGCTTCCACTGAAGCTCAAACTCACAACCTTCCAAATAGAGGCCCAACCTGGGTACCATTAGACCACATAGTCTTGGTAACATGCACCTTACTATTTGCAAAAATTTTATAAATGAATATTGTGTCACAAGACACAAAATACATTAAAGTACTTTTACATAAATCAAATCTAAAAACATAATAAGTATGGATGAAGGTTATACCCTTCATTTATGTCTGTTTTTTCCGTTAAGTTTTATGATACATTATGCTATAAATGTTGTACTATACAATATTTTGGACAAACATACCCCTACCATTATGACTTCCGTTATCTTTTCCACTATTGCTACCATGCACATGCATCCACCATATATTTTCTTATTTTCAATAATAATAATAATCTACTATCTACTATCTACTATACTAATAAGAGCCCAGGAGAGTTAGACCTATAATGGGTAGAAAAAATGGCGGTCAAATTTTTTAATCAAATGAATGGCTCATATTGATCAGATTTTAATTTTTCCATAAGATTTCCTAATATATCCTTAATGAATATGATTTTCCGTTAACTTTTCCGTTAAATATTATCTTTTCCGTTAATTTCTGTTAGTTCACCGTTAACTTACTCATTGATTTCAATAAGAAAGGTCTTAGGTTCGAACCTCATCCCAATCAAAGTTGACATAATTAGTACTCTATTTTACTCTTATTAAATTAAAAATAATAATTTAGTAGCTACAACAAAAAATAATACATATGCATTTCTTTAATTTAGAATTATGTGTTTACAATGTCTTTATTAAAAAAAATTATTCATTATCAATAAATTAAATAAGAGAAATAATTTCATTAGTTATATTGTCTTTATTTTTCTCCAATATAAAAATTCTTTAAATTCAAATTCATCAATTGATTATATTCGCCACATTGTCCCTACAATGTCTTTATTAAAAAAAAATATTATTCATTATCAATAAATTAATTAAGAGAAATAATTTTATTAGTTATATTGTCTTTATTTCTCTCCAATGTAAAAATTCTTTACATTCAAATTCACAAATTGTCTATTATTTTTTTTGTGAAATATTTTTTGATTAAATATCAAAGTTATAATACAAAATAATGCTATATATTTATTTACCAAGTATTTTATTAATACCACGAAAAAATTTAAAAAATATAATTAATAAAGCCAAAGTATTCAAATCACACAACAAATTGAAGTGAGAACTACCTCGCAATGTCGTTATTTGACAATCAGCGGTTAGCGGTTAGCGTTAGCGGATATGACCAACGAATTATATCAGCAATTGGTAAAAAGATATTTGAAAAAAGTATGTAGTTGTTTAGATTAACATGTAAAATGATCTAAGAGTATAATAATAATAATAATAATAATAATAATAATAGTAATAATAATAATAATAATAATAATAATAATAATAATAATAATAATAATTGTTTTAAAAAATAAAAAAATGGAAAAAACATAATTAAGCCAATCATATTAACTACTTGGGGGATCTATTGATAAAAAGAGTATTCAAATCACACAGCAAATTGAAGTGGAAAACTACCTCGCAATGTCCTTGTTTGGCAATCAGCAGTTAGCTCTTCAATATTAGTATATATTTAATATTTTATGCCCTAATTTTTATTTGCTCTCCCTTATATATCCCATATTTGGTTTCAACCATACCCATACAATTATTTTATTGACAATTATAATCCATCTTAATTGACTATATTATCTTGCATTTGTAAACTTAGAATTACCTTTTTAAATACGCAAATTCGACATTCAATTAGTTATGCATGAACAATTTCAATATAATCTTGCCTTTGATATACTTTAAAGTACTTATTTAAAAAAAAAAAAACATTGGGCATTATCCCAATCGCGCAATGCGCGTAAAAAACTAGTAATAATATACACATTATATATTGGGGTTATATATTAGTTATTTCTTAAAATATAAATATTAAATTTATAGGAATGTTTTACATTAGGCTGACCTTACCACTGCAAGTGTACCCATTTGCAATCTTATTTGGCATGCCACATGGAAATATTTTTTATTTTTATTTTTTTTATTATATGATGTGTAATGCAAACTTGCATCTTTTGCAAGTTTGCAAAGTACAAAGAAGGCTGCCAGCCTTCTTTGTACTTTAGTATTGCAAGGCAGCCATGCTGCCTGCAAATATGTACTTTTCTTTACTTTTTTATTCTTTTTTATTTTTTTATTTATATATATATAATATAAAATAATGGTGGGATCCATTTTTTAGAGTAAGAGAGATTTGTAGGAATGTAGTGTGAATAGGAGATGATTTGCAAATAAGATGATGTGGAAGTGGGACCCGTTTTTTAGAGTGGGAGATGTTTGCAGGGATAAGGACAGCATTATTATTATTATTATTATTATTATTATTATTATTTACAATAATTTAAATATCTAAAATCTAAATAAATTTAAAATTTTTAATATAAAATATTAATATTGGGCACCTATTTTTTGCGCATCGCGCATAAGAAATACTAGTTAATAAAATATAAGAAAATAATTGAATTTATTTGACCGTAAACATCTCTTCGACATATTGTTATTAGTTGAATGTCAATTTAAAAAAAAAAAAAAACTTTTTGATTATATTGAATAACTAATCAATCACAATGAGATACAAGGTCATGATAGGATATTAATTGCAAAGACAAATCAATAGTTTTACCAAATGTTGATGTGACATATTGTCATGCCTTAATCAACTTGAGAATATTTTGTTTTTCATATGAGAAATATAACTAAGACGAAAAATCAAACTAATACAAAAGCAATTAGCAAAGGTCGAGCATCGTCTCGGTGGATGATTGAGGATACGGTTTAATGCCCTTTATGCACAAAGTTTGAGTATTGTAAACTAAATATTATAAGAGCAACTTCAATAGGTTTGTTTGTTTGTTTTTTTTTTTTTTGTTTTTTTTTTTTTGTTTTTTTTCTTTGAAGTGCCAATTAGGAAAGAAAGAGGAGGTTAAAAAAAATGAAGAGAAAAAAAATTAATTTATTGAAAAAAAATTAATTTATTGAAAAAAAAGTTTAAAAATACATGCTTACGTTTTCCATTTTCTCCTGACGATCCCACAAAAAATTATTCATTGCAGGAGGAAAATTCAACCTTCTAAATTTTTTTTACTGTTTCAAAAACCATAAAAAATCTCTATTAAGAATGCTTTAGGAAATTAACTTTTGTGTTCACCATGCGCATTGTGAACACATGGGTAGATCCATAATTTCTATACTGTAGATTCATATATATATATATATATATATATATATATTATTTTTAAAAACGTAGATTCAAAATTTTGTTTTTCATTTGTTGTTAACGGGATAAATTCATAATTTCTAAGCTGTAAATTCATAATTTCTATACTGTAGATTCATAACATCTATACTATAGATTCATAATTTCTGTACTGTAGATACATAATTTCTATACTGTAGATTCATAATTTCTGTACTGTAGATTCATAATATCTGTAACAACAAATGAAAAAAAAAAATTATGAATCAACGTTTTCCAAAAAAAAAATTATGAATCTACAGTATAGAAACTATGGATCTACCATGTGTTCACCATGCGCATGGTCAACACGTTTCCACAGCATAATTTGCGACTCTAATAGTAATACATCACTTTAGCATTTAGTGAGTTTTTTCATAAATTTTTTTTTATTAAACATTATCCTTTTTACGATTTTTTTAGTATACTCATAGTTTCCATCGTCGAACACAGTAACTAATCCCCTCACTGAATTGTAAGCATTTCTTTTAGATGAGGCAGCTGGCCTGGAGATTTAAAACTGTTCTTTTTTATGATAGATATAATTTTAAAAAGTTTATTCAAGTCCTTATATTGCAAAGTAAAGTTGGCACATGGCAAATTGAGTATTTGAGCAGTAGAGATAAATGTTTCACTTGAAGAGGCATCACCTAAACAAGGAAACATGACACGTAGTATATTGGTCCTCCGTATAAAACAAAACATAACATAACATACCATATACTAGAAATGACAGATGAAATGGATAACAACTTGGCAGCAGCTACCTTAACCAACTTTTACTATTTCAACACATCATTTATTATTTCAACTTAAACTCTTCTATTTTAATATTATTAAGAACGTACCCGATTCATCTTTAGATCAATTTTTATTTTCTGTTTTACTGGAAAATTTATATACATTATCTAAGGAAGTGCACTAAATGAAGCATAGAGAAATAAACACTTGATAAAGTCCGTCCCTAAAGTCCTAACGAGAAAAGATCCAGCTTAAACAAGTTTTAGAAAATTGGAATATAGAATTTCATTAATTAACCATAACAGAAAGAGATTACAGATTAAATAAAACATAAGCTACGAGAGTTCTCCTAACAGACAGAGAAGCTCAAGTCAATATATTCTAAGCCACACAATATAATCATATAATATAAATAAATAACACTGACTAACACCCCCCCTCAAGCACAAGGTTGGTGCGCGACAACATTGAGCTTGTCACGAAGTTGAGTGAACCGTGGTCCAGTCAGCGGTTTGGTGAAGATGTCTGCAAGCTAGTCTTTAGTTGATACAAAATTGACGACAAAGTCTCCTGAGGCAACCTTGTCCCGCACAAAGTGATAATCAATCTCGACATGATTTGTCCACGCATGAAAAACCGGGTTTGCACACAAATACGTTGCTCCAAGATTATCACACCACAAGGTGGCCGGATGGGAGGAATGCAGTCCAAGCTCCTTCAATAAAGAAACAACCCATGTTACCTCTGCAGACACATCGGCTAGGGCTTTGTATTCTGCTTCGGTGGACGAACGTGCTACCGTACGCTGCTTCCTGGATAGCCATGAAATTAAGTTGGTCCCGAGAAACACAGCATAACCACTCGTGCTCTTCCTGTCAATCGTACAACCTGCCCAGTCAGAGTCGGAGAACGCCTGGATAGTCGTGGATGCGGATGGAGCAATGCGCAAGCCATAGTCTATAGTGCCCTTGATATAACGTAATACCCGTTTAGCCAAACTCCAGTGGTCGTCTGTAGGTGCATGCATAAATTGACATAAACGATTGACCGAGTAGGACAAGTCTGGCCTCGTAATCGTTAAATACTGGAGTGCCCCCACAATGCGCCTGTATTGAGTGGGGTTTTCGAAGGGAGAGGCATCCGTAGACACTGGCACCGTGACAGCTGCTGGTGTGGTAAGTGGCTTACAGTCAAGCATCCCGGCGCGATTGAGTAGATCCGTCATGTACCGTCTCTGAGACAAAATCAATCCTCCATTTACTGATACGGTTTCTATCCTAAAAAGAACCCCGGTTTGCCAAGATCACGGATCTTGAATGTGGTGGCAAGCCGGTGCAGTAAGGTGGTCACCAATGTCTCATCATTGCCCATCATGATGATATCATCTACATAGACAAGCAGATATACCCGAGATGCATCGGCAGTGTAGTGAAATAAAGAGACATCGGTCTTTGACGACTTGAATCCTGCAAGAATCAAAAAATCATGTAATCTCTTGAACCAGGCCCTCGGGGCCTGTTTCAGCCCGTATAGAGAGCGCTGCAGGTGACACACATGACCCGGGTGTGTCGGAAAGTTGATTGGAGGTCGCCGGTGAAGGTGTGTCACCAGCAGAAACCGTTCGCTCGGATGATTGCGACATAATTTCGGGAAGAGATTGTTTATGATGCGAATTGAGGGGGTAAGGTTGAGAGAGAAACGTAGAGATCGTTACCTTATCTGATACCAAATTGGAATATAGAATTTCATTAATTAACCATAACAGAAAGAGATTACAGATTAAATAAAACATAAGCTACAAGAGTTCTCCTAACAGATAGAGAAGCTCAAGTCAACCTATTCTAAGCCACACAATATAATCATATAATATAAATAAATAACACTGACTAACATAGAAGACCGGATGAATTAAGAGACCAATAAGTAACCACCTACTGAGAGTTAAACTTGTCATATTAAGGTTATTGTTCGACCATTTTAGGTGGGACCAAAACCCTAGCCGGCAAAGTATTTTTGTTTTTAGTTTTTTTTTTTTTTTTTTTTTTTTTTTTTTTGGGTCAATATATAACTTAATAATTATTATATTTCACAACTTTTAATAAGTTAGCATCATAGTATGTTTTGACACATTTTAATGTGACAGACAAATTTGAGCTAACATACATGGTGATCAAATAAGTTGAATTATCATTTACACAAAAAAGTTTCACATTTACAAGTCTGGCCTCGAATTCCTGTCAAATGTGTTTAGAATGTTACTGATTAATTAATTATATGTAAATTAGTTAATTTAACTATTAATTTATTAAATAATTAGATAAAGTAGTCATGCATATAAGAGCATTACCATTGGATTTTTATTTTTATTTTTTAATTTTCTGTTTGTGTGGAGAAGAGATTGTGTGACATGACTTAGAGAGAAGAGAAAATAAAAGTCAAGTTTTACTGCTATTTTTCAAATACACACACAAGCAAGCTGCTACACATTGTGAGCACCAACCGTCAAACTTTACTTTGCGGATGTGTGCATTACATGCGCCAATTGGGGACCACTCCAATTAAATATAAATGGAAAAAAGGTTTAAATTGGTCACTATATGTAACTTAAAAGTGAAATTAAATCATTGAACGAAAAAAAAAAAAAAAAGGTGTAATTAAGCCACGAACATTTTAAATGTATGCAATTTCACTTGATAACAGGTTATCATAAATTTCATCAGGTTTCCTGCTTATATGGATGGTGAGTTGGCATTTTTTAAAATAACTTTTAATAATAAAATTTAAAAATAAAAAAACACACTTATTTTATTTTATTTTTATTTTAAAAGTTTATTATTAAAAATAAAAAATGTTTTTTTTTTTTTTTTTTTTTTTCGTTCAGTTGCCTAATTATACTTTCAGGTTACGTTCTTGAATCTTATATCTACTATCTACTATACTAATAAGAGTCTAAGAGAGTTAGGCCTATAATGGGTAAAAAAAATGGTGGTCAAATTTTTTAATCAAATGAATGACTCAGATTGATCAGATTTTAATTTTTCGTTAAGATTTCCTAATTTATCCTTAATGAATATGATTATCCGTTAACTTTTCCATTATATATTATCTTTTCCGTTAATTTCTGTTAGTTCACAGTTAACTTACTCATTGATTTCAATAAAAATGGTCTTAGGTTCGAACCTCATCTCAATCAAAGTTGACATAATTAGTACTCTATTTTACTCTTATTAAATTAATAAATAATAATTTAGTAGCTACAACAAAAAATAATACATATGCATTTCTTTAATTTATAATTATGTGTCTACAATGTCTTTATTCAAAAAAAATAATAATTCATTATCAATAAATTAAATAAGAGAAATAATTTCATTAGTTATATTGTATTTATTTTTCTCCAATATAAAAATTCTTTACATTCAAATTAATCAATTGATTATATTCACTACATTGTCCCTACAATGTCTTTATTAAAAAAATTATTCATTATCAATAAATTAATTAAGAGAAATAATTTTATTAGTTATATTGTCTTTATATTTCTCCAATGTAAAATTTTTTTACATTCAAATTCATCAATTGATTATATTCACTACATTGTCTATTATCTTTTTTGTGCACTATTTTTTAATTAAATATCAAAGTTATAATACAAAATAATGGTATATATTTATTTACCAAGTATTTTATTAATACCATGAAAAAATTAAAAAAATATAATTAATAAAGTAAATCATATTAACTACTTGAGGAATTTGTTGACAAAGAGAGTATTCAAATCGTACAACAAATTGAAGTGAGAACTACCTCGCAATGTCTTTGTTTGATAATCAACAGTTAGCGGTTAGCGTTAGCATATTAGCGAATTTGACCAGCGAATTATATCAACGGTTGGTAAAAAGATATTTGAAAAAATTAGCTGTTTAGATTAACATGTAAAATGACCTAAGGGTATACATATACTTAATAATAATAATAATAATAATAATAATAATAATAATAATAATAATAATAATAATAATAATAATAATAATAATAATTGTTTTAAAAAATAAAAAATATAATTAAGCCAATCCTGTTAACTACTTGGGGGATTTATTGACAAAAAGAGTATCCAAATCACACAACAAATTGGAGTGGAAAACTATCTCACAATGTCCTTGTTTGACAATTAGCAGTTAGCTCTTCAATATTAGTATATATTTAATATTTTATGTCCTAAGTTTTATTTGCTCTCCCTTATGTCCCGTATTTGGTTTCAACCATACCTATACAATTATTTTATTGACAATTATAATCAATCTTGACTATATTATCTTTGCCTATTTAAATACGCAAATTTAACATTCAATTATCTATGCATGAACAATTCCAATATAATCTTGCATTGATATACTTTAAAGTACTTATTAAAAAAAAAAACATTGGGCATTATCCCAATCGCGCAATGCGCGTAACAAAAAACTAGTTCCATAATATAATTTACAGAGTGATGTATAAAACTGTATAAAAACTATCCTATATCATAATGCAAGGCTAAGAAAATGTTCACATCAAGTTATTGATTCTTTAAACTTGATCTCAACTAGGTCAATTTTATTTTTATTTTTAAAATTTATTATTAAAAATTATTTAAAAATGCAAACTCACCATCTACATAAGCAGACAACTTGATGAAATGGATGGTAACCTGCTATTAGATGAAATTGTATACATTTGGGATGTTCAGTGACTTAATTGTTTTTTTTTTTTTTTTTTTTTTTTTTTTTTTTTTTTTTTTTTTTTCATTCAGTGGCTTAATTACACTTTGAGGTTATGTTTAGTGGTCAATTTGAACCTTATTCCAATATAAATATATATAGTTTTTTTTTTTCTCATTTTCTCTCTCCTACTGATAAAGTTAAAAATAAAAAATAAAAAATAAAAAAGTTATATTATGTAGTTGCTCTAATGTGAAATTTGGTGAGTGTAACATTATCGTTGAACAATTATGGAAACTTTCCATGTACTAATCGTGTATGATTTAGGCATTTAAAGCCGTACAAATGCATGGGGATAATTTTTTGTACCAACACCATTTTGGAAAGCTCATTGCCTTCTATTACAGAGTCAACAACGCCTCTACTGAACTTCAATCTCATGACCTCCCACATGTGAAAAAGTCACTACATGCCATCTGGGCATAAGGTGCTTGCCAGTTTTTTTGCCTATTAAAATATGGATAATTCCATATATGTATCTCATATTTTTATCTTTTATTTTTTAAAGAAAAATTATATGTTGACCTCATAGCTATTGTCATTATTGATTTGAGTTGGTCAACTACGAATAATATATATTTATTTATCTCCTTTGTGGGGTTTTTTTTTTTTTTTTTTTTTACTGGTGATGGGAAATATCCTTCAGGCGTATAACTGTATAGCCGCTCAATTCGTATATCATATGCTAGGAGGCACACTTTCCGACCACATCCGATCCCATTTGGGTCGAACTTGACCTGACCCGAGATGCAGTCTCACCATCTAAGCTACTGTACAATGTACCCTAAACTCCGTCCCAACCCTAGAGCTTGAACCGGGTGTCCTGAGCTTGTAATGTCTCTTAGACTAGAAGACAAGCACATGTAATGACACTCTACTCGATCACATTAGAAATGAGCATGTTAGGCTTCACACATGAGCATACGAGTAATGCCTTCAACCTCCTCAATGCATGTACGACATGTGACTCACATATCTAGCCCCCGACATGTGTCCCCTTCAAACCCTCTATATAGGGCGCATTTAATGTCTCGTAGGGAGACTTTTGGACTTTCACCTAACCCATACTTGCTCAAGAACGTCCAACTTATTGTCATAGTTACCCGAACACATACTTGTATCATGTAGTCCACCTAGATTTACTCGTATATCTCAGTGTATTTATTACATCAGCTGATTATGATCACAACGCGTATTTCACCTAGATTCATATATATTCAGGTAGCGAGTGCGAGCTTTACCATAAATCAAAATTTTACTTTAAACGAGAACACTTGTTATTTTTAAAAAAATATAATAATATTGGAAAAAGTGACTAAAATTTTAAGGTGATATCCAACTCCCTTATTGGGTGTTTGGTAGACTGGAATTAGTCGAATTCAATTCCCACATAATTTTTAAGTATGCTAATTTCTTGTGTTTTGTATAGAGGGTTGGAAAAAATAACATAAATTAATATTTTAAG